GTCTGTTCGAACAACAACAACAACGGCTAAACGCAGACGCATTCTGCTGGGAATTGCACTGCGGCAGACGCGAAGAGAGACGCGGGTCTCGAGACTCGGTGAGGCCTTTTCCTGAGTAAACAAATTATTTGTAAGCGGTTGTTGTTGCCGCTGAGCATCGCCGTCGAGTGTTCGTCTGCTATAAATGGACACTAATGCCATCACCGCCCATGTCACGGTGTGTGTTGTGTAAGAGGTTTTAAACCCAGACTCACCGACTAATGAGCCGTGAAAGCTGACTCGCTGCAAGATGGTCTACATATTTATGCCGTCCCCCCCCCCAAAAAAAATTGTGTGCACTCTTTGTTTGAACGCTTTTCGTCTCTTATATCCACAATTAGTTTGATCCCCAATTATCTACGGTCGCTTCTCTCCCATCTGCCACCGTGGAGCAGGCGATGACATAGTAGTAGGGTTTTACCCTTTCAACTGGTACAAAACTGACACCTTTATACAAGGCATCATGTTTGCAATAACCACAACACAAGCAGTCAAAATGCAAACAAAAAGAAACAACTCTGATAATGATATGCACTGTCCTTGAAGTTGATTGGTCCACACCCGAGACAGCTTTTCTTAGAGCCTAGTCTCCATTGGTGTTGGACCAGATGACGCCAAAAGGCGTACTAGTTTAAAGGGCAAAAACCTACTACTATATTTTGTCACTGGTTAAAGAGGTCTCATAGTGCAAGTGATGAAAGCCCAGCGGCGGTCACCTGGCCTACGATTCATCGGAGCGGATCCATCAGCCGACTTGCCGGCTCTGTCCGAAGGCTAAAAGAAGCCAGACATCGATTCATAACAAAGCAAAGCAAAAAGAAATGCAATTTATAACGCGCGCGGTATTTCACGGACGCAAAACGACCGTGACTTTGATGTTGCGGAGCAACGTTCAGTGTCGCTCGAGGTCAAAGAGGTGTCAGCCTTTAAGGGTCTCTTAGAAGTCGGTGTGGATTGAACGCTGCTGCTGCTGCCAGTGATATGGTCAGACAACGGCAAGTGGCGGGGACGTCATCACGGCGCTTGTGCCAGGCTATGTACACTTTGAGGCCACGTGATGTGTCGAAGGCTTGTTGCTTGCAGGAGGTCATGGCACAGACTCAGGTGCCATGCGTTGACTGAGTGAGATGACTGGCCGATGCACCACCTGTGCTTCCCACTGTGCCACCTCGCCGCGTTTATCCGCCCGGCGCTCCGCTCGTTGTTGTGAGCGTCACCCCTCCGCCCTCCGTTGTTGTTGGAGGGCGACTGCCTCCAACTGCTCAGCAGCGTCCTTCACGAGCCTCCTCCACAGAGGCCGATCTCGACACCGCTGGTTACCAGTCAATCAACGTCTCATCATACAGAGACGCAGCGATATACAGACACGGACATTGAACAATACACGTAAAGAGACATGGAGAGACGGACCCAGAGATATGGAAACCAGTGACGTAACGACATTCGCAGCTCAGGGGGTGCGGCAATCGATCAGGGGACCCAATATTCGATTTATCTCGCACGGTCGCACCCAGGCTATTGTATCTCGCCGCTCCTCTGACATAATTCACATCGTTACGGTTACGGTTTCGAACATGTAACGCTGTAGGGACACTGCGTCTTCGCAAAAAAAAAGTGCACACTCTTGTTGAAAACAAACCTCATGGTGGTTGTCAAGGGGGCCCAAACTCGTAGCTTCGGCCACCAGGAGGGAGCCAAGGCCCCCCTGCCCCTACGCTGCTACTGACGGAAACAAAGATACAGACACAGAGGCACAAGTGGCATGCTTACAAACTGCATCGTCGTATTCGCTGCAGTTGTAGTTGACGTTTGGCTCGGCAGAGGGCACTGTCGTACAAAATGAAAGCGATGCCTTGATGGCATCGTAACGCATCATCAACCGTAATCACGAATCGCCAGTATTCCCAACATCATTATCATCAATGTTCATTGTTATTTTCTTCATCATCATCACCGCCACCTCATAATCATCATCATACATGCTCATTGACATGAAAAACAACTATCATGGCCTTTCACCGTCATCGTGAGCAGCATCATAATTATTATTCCCACTGCAGTATAATCAATCATCATCTAATAGCGATTTGAAGCTTTCGTGACTGCATTTGTCAGTCAGTTATATCATAACGATATCTCATGAAAGAGCCTGTAAGGTGAAGATAGTGAGAAGCGTAGAGGCTATTAGATGATATTCTTGGTTCTTTCGGTAAAGTCACGTAGAAGGGAATTCTCACGACGTTTCGGCCACAACGCAAGCAACAGAAGAGGACGGCTGCTTGCGTTGTGGCCGAAACGTCGTGAGAATTTTATCTCATTATGTTTTATTTGTATTATTTTATTATTTCCCTTCTACGTAACTTTACCAAAAGAACCAAGAATATCATATAATAGCCTCTACACTTCTAACTATCATCACCTTACAGGCTCTTTCATGAGATATCGTTATGATATAACTGACTGACAAATGGGCAGCTCTTTGTGGATAGGGCAGGACCATCTCTGTTAGATACGGGGCCTAGTTCGGCGCACAACTGTCTATATTACTGGTAGGAACCTCCTGGTTACACCAGCCCACAGGGGATTATTGTGTCCGTCCGTCGTGCAGGGAGGGGCTGGGTGGGGAGGGGAGGGTGGGGAGGGGCTGGGTGGGGAGGGAGGGGAGGGGCTGGGTGGAGAGGGTGGGGAGGGGCTGGGTGGGGAGGGTGGGGAGGGGCTGGGTGGGGAGGGTGGGGAAGGGCTGGGTGGGGGGTGGGAGGGGTGGTGCTGGGTGGGGAGGGGTTGGTCACCCCATGGTGCCCTTATAAAACTCAACGTTTAACCTATTCACGCCGGCTTGTGCCCGCCCTCACAGTCGGGCATATTTGCGGAATACACCACGCCGCCGTTGACCCTGGCCATTGACCGAGCAACCCAACGTTCATACCAGCTCCCTCCGCAGGAATGTGTTTTTATAAGAAATAATCACAAAATAATCACAACGCAATCGTTTTGTGGGTTTGCGTCGAACTGGGGCCCCACATCTAAGCGAGAGAATCCTTGCCTGAGAACGTCTGGCAGTTCACCAGCATTGATTGGTTCCAGCAAAGCCCGACTCTACTGATGAGACACTGGAGTGTCGAAACCGGTCCAGTGTTTTGCTCGTGTTGAATCAATTTGGCTGCAACTACGTAGTCCCAGAAGGCCGCACGGCTGATGGGATGCGTAAAAATGCTTGGACTTTTTTTTGCGTGTGGAGAAAAAGATATGGGAAGGAGGTATTAGGGGCCGTCCATAAATTACGTCACGCACCTGGGGGGGGGGGGGGAGTCAGACATTTGTGACGAGGGGGGGGGGTTTGAGAAATATAACGTCACATCAAAATGCGCAACTTTAATAAATATAGAATTGTTATAACAACACTAATTGTGCAGCGCCATATTAAATACGTACTTCAATGACAATAGTTTAAAGCGATTTGAAGCATGTTTTATAGTTTTGGGGGGGGGGGGGGCAGAGCTTTGTGACGTCATATTTGAGGGGGGGTCTGACTTTTTGTGACGTCGTGTGACGAGGGGGGGGGGGGGGGTAAAAATCGTCCAAAATCGCGTGACGTCATTTATGGACGGCCTCATAAATTGTCAGCTTATTGTCCAACCCGAGCCAAACCCACACCATCGACCTTTCCCCAACCACAGGCCTCATCATAACCCCAGCTCTTAACGTCATCAACAACTATGGGCTTAGATAACCAACTGCTGTATTCAATCTTGATTTGAAGCTGTATTCTTACGGCAATTTAAAAGTTGTTCATCAGGAACGCTTAGAATGTCATTCCCGTCAAGCCCCATGGTGTAAAATCTCGTATTAGATAATTGTGATAATTATTTTTTTACCCTTCTATCTGGCAACAAAACTGACACCTTTTTTATACAAAGAGTCATGTTTGCATAAACCACAATACCTTAATTCTAGATTTGAAGCTTTCGTGACTGCAAGGATTCATATTCTTAGGTTTTTTCGGTAAAGTCACGTAGGTAAAACATTAAAATTAATAACCACAATACCTGCAGTCATAATGCAAACAAATAACATAACTCTGATAATGTATGCACTGTCCTTGAAGTTGATTGGTCCACACCCGAGACAGCTTTCCTTAGAGCCTAGTCTCACATGGGTAGGACCAGATGACGCCAAAAGGCGCACAACTCAAAGACAATGCACCATCAGAGTATGAGAGCTCGGGGTAAGCATTTACACCATTGGAACCTCATTTGCCAGTAAAAAATATGATAATTGATTTTTTACCCTTCTATCTGGCAACAAAACTGACACCTTTCAAGGACAGTGCATACATTATCAGAGTTATGTTTTTTGTTTGCATTATGACTGCAGGTATTGTGGTCTATGCAAACATGACTCCTTGTAAAAAAAAAAGGTGTCAGTTTTGTTGCCAGATAGAAGGGTAAAACAACAATGATCATATTTTTTACTGGCAAATGAGGTTCCAATGGTGTAAATCTCGTATTAGCTTAACTTCTTTGCCCTTTATAAATGTGTTATGAAGAAGGGCCGTTGCCCGAAACGTCGCCAATTATCTACTTTCCTTATAACGAACGAGGTTTTTTACCTGAAACGTGAGTGCAGTGCGCCATTGCTTGTCGTGTGATAGTAAACTAGTGGGCGTGGTTTAGTGTGAGTAGGCGTGGCTATGTGTCAGTAGGCGTGGCTTCGGCGGCGATGGGCGTGGTTTAGTGTGAGTAGGCGTGGCTATGTGTCAGTGGACATGGCTATGCGGCAGTGGGCGTGGTTTAGTGTGAGTAGGCGTGGCTATGTGTCAGTGGGCGTGCTTTAGCACGAGTAGGCGTGGCCTTCGAGGGGGTGACGTGACAGGGAGGCGGGCCCAAGAAGTAGGCGGAGCAATGCCAAGTCTCGCCAGCCCCGTAGTCTCGCGAGATCTCAGTTTGCCCTCCCCCCCCCCGCCCCCCTACCCCGCAATCCCCGCGTCTTCTCCGGCCGCCGCTGTCGCCCCCGACGCCGACGCCGCCATCGCAATGCCCCAGTTCGTGGAGAACTTCTGGGTGAGTTTCTCTTCCCGCCGCGTGTTTGTTCGCTTCCTCGGCGCCGGCTGCCGCAGCCTGGGCTGGCCCTGGCACGGCCCGACTGAGAGCGGCGCCGAGCCGCTCCGAACCCCCCCCGCCGACCCCAGAGGCCTAGTGGAGCCCCGGTGCTCGGCTAGAAGTTGTACCGGGAAAGATGCGCCGTCGGCGGCGGCCGCGACTCCAGGCGACACCCCCCCCCTCCCCCCGCACCTCTTAACATACCCGCTACTGTTTTTGACGGCGAATTGTATCACTTGTGTTACCCGGTAATGGTTAATATTAGCATCATCATAGCCATAGTCACCGTCGGCAACGCCACGACTGTCATCCCTATAATGTGTACTGTCACGAGCGTTGCAATCATTAACATGGCATCTCATTACTGTCATCTTCATAATAGCAGTACCATCAGCATAGTACTATCCGATTAGTTATTATAATAGTACTGTCATTACCTTCACTATAGTCAGCTCTATTATCACAACGTTTACAATAAGTGTCTGTTTTCTTTATCGGTCTCGAGTCGGTACGATCATTTTCGTTCGTGAGATCAACATCTTTTGCGAGAGTGAGTGCCACCATCATCGCTGCCCGATGAATCGCTGTCACTGTGATCATCTTCACCGAAGTAATTAATGTTCATTATTATAGTCCGTATTACTGTATAACAAGTGGTGTCGTTCTAGTTACAAGCACAGTGAATAGAGTTAACGTCCCCGCATAATCGCCTTCACCCTAGTCGGCTCACACTGCCACCGTAATAACGACTGTCAGCCTCTCATGACTAAAGTGGTTGCTGTAAAAACATTTTTTTTACTAATCCAGTGCCCATCGCTGGCAAAAGTATGCGTGCCCCACCTCCTCATGTGATGCACGTGTCCTGTGTGTGTGTACAGCGTCTCAAGACGCCGTTCCGTTTGTACGAGTTATAAATATCGACTTGTACGATACTATCATGTTTACTGTGATCAGCTTCACCGCGTTCTTCATCATCACGAAGCCAAATGTATATCACTCAGCGTTTCGCATCATCGTCGTCGTGCCTGTGATCACCATCGTCGTTTCTGAACTCTCGTCTAACCTGTCAGCCGGTATAAAGGTCACAACTTTCTTGTGCTGTGTAACCAGATTAAGCTACAGTGCAGTTAATTTACAACGAAAACCAAGAGAGTTCAGTTTGCCACTGGCTGCATCTTGTGAACAACTGGATGGTTTTGGGTTCACACCAACGGTTGGCTCCGCGAGCCCATCACCTTTCTAGTTTTAATTTTAAAAAGTACCACTTTGTTTGAAGGTTAGCAGTAGTTGTCCTAAGATCGTGACTCATCTGGCCATGGGGAATGTGGAATTTACACCTCGAGATTGTCTACTGTCGTGTTTCCACCTCGTCACCCAGTTAAGCACTTAACGCCGATAAAGAATCTTGACATGCAATTTTAATTTGAAGCTATTTAAATAGTTTAAAAGACAGCACGTATAATAAAGCAAAGTACATTGCTACATGAGGGATTCCCCACGGAGTGAGATTTGTGGCGGTTATTTTTGTCACGGCTGATCACTGCGGGTCGGTGAACGCTGGGAGCATAGACATTGGACCATAGTACAGTACAACAATTTATTTTTCTGCACCCCCCTTTGCTACCCATATCACAGCCTCACAGCCTATAAGACCCGTTGTATGCCCAGCGATCACATATCCAAGCATTAACCAGGTTTAACTCTACTTAGCTTCCAAGATTGACAAGATCGGGCACATTCTGAGTTGTTTGGCTCATAAACAGCGGCGTCTCCACCTCTAACACAAGACAGAGATTGTATCATTGCTTGTTTGTGTTGACGTATGGGTTGGTGGTCATGGTAGTGGGGTTTTTGGAAGTTGTGCTCTCCGTGCCTATGCTAAACGTAAACAGGAAGGGCTTAGAGAGGTGTGGCGTTTAAATGGTGCAGTTTGAACGCGAAGAATGCGACCCTACGGAATCCGATCCCATTTTAACAAACACAGCTCTGTCGAATCTCATTTTGCGTTGACAACGTTGGCCTTGTCAACACAGACGCCAATTACTTGGTGAATCCTATTTGCAAGGCTGACATGATCTAATTGCATTTTTCACGTACAACTCTTTGTCAATCCACTACTGGATGAAATATATAAAACAGGGGTGGGGAACCTTTTTTCTGCCAAGGGACATTTGGATATTTATAACATCATTCGCGGGCCATACAAAATTATCAACTTCAAAATGAGCCTGTTATATTTGGTCAAACATTTAATTAACTCACCCCTAATGTGATGGCTGGAACTGATTCTCTTTGTTTAGGCATGTGATGTTAGCTGGTATTGATGATATTGCTACTCGCAACTGCTTTTCCAGGTTTTCTCCTAGATTTATTGAATTTCGAGTCCTTCCTGCGGTTGCCTTGGCAGGGCCAGACCAAATGATTTTGCGGGCCTTATACGGCCCGCGGGCCGGACGTTCCCCACCCCTGATATAGAAAGATTGAGATCGAACGAAGCAGTAATATTGGCTAAAGAAATAAAACCATGATGGGAAATTTGTTGGACTCCAATGTAGCTGAAGGAAGGCACGGATGATGAGGGCTGGCTTAAGGTCTCCCCAAGTCATGGTGACTGTGCGACCATACTTCACCATGCTAGTCAGTACAGGTTGGTGAAGGGAATGTGCCCAGGAGTCTGGTTCAGATATTACTTGTCACTGACGTTAGTTGTTGCCAAGACTCAAACTCAGGTCGACGGAGTCACAGCCACAATGCGCTTACCACTGCCCTGCCAATGGAACCCAGTTGAGTGTTTAACACAGGCATTAATCTCACTGATGAGGCTAACAATCCGATTGTGTGTTTAATAGACTCTCGTAACCCTACATCATTCGACTGCATGCAGAACAATTACAGCACCAAGCCAATTCTAACATTTTCAATCAATGGTGAAAATCTCACGAGACACACAACGCAGTACTTTTCAACCACATTGCGTGTTTACAGACCTATTGCTGCGGTATCCAGCTGTGCCTTAGCAGGCCATAGTCTCTTATAATGAAAACTACTTGACTGAGAATTGGTTGTTGACGAGGAAATTTGCTGATGGTTCATTAGGGATGAATTCCAAACGCCTCTCCAGCATTTCATTTCATTTGGAGTGACGTCCGTATGGAAGTCTCATCGAGCTAGATTATGTTCGCCATTGGGCAGGTTTTTCCTTGATGAATCATGTTACACGCTAACATGCCTCGCCTTGTGGAATATGATTTGCTGGTTAACCTACCTCGGGATGTTAACTACCTTGCCTGGTATACACGAGGTTATGGGTTCGATCCTGACCCTGACGCCTATATTTTTGGAGTTTGAATGTTCTCCCCGTGGTCGTGTGGATTTTTCTCCGGGTCCTCCGTTTTTTTTCGCCACACATTTAGAATTAACATGTGTTTAGAGTATTTGGCTGTTTTAAAATTTCCGCACGATAAGCCACTACATTGAGCTATCGTTTGTGGCCAGGTAGCTTCTGAAAAAGAGCTACATAGCTCAGTGGGCCTTACCTGGTAAAATTAAAAGTAGTTTATTCTTCTAGTTTAGTTTAAGTAATGTATAATTCTACAATGCGTTCGGCCTTTGCTCCTCTAACGTGGGTTGAGCGGTTTGGGATGGAGGCAAGGCCCTTTAAAAATCCATCTCAAATCTATGGCGCCATTCTTTTTCACAGTATCAATTTTTCGCTGTGTTTGCATTACAAAGCCCACCGAGATTAGGCACTCGCTGTGCATGTTTAAGTTAAGGCATCTCGAATAGACCGATAGGCAGGAAGGAATGTGGGTGTGTGTGCGTGTGCGCACGTTGTGCGTGTGGGGTTTGGGAGTGGTGATTCGGTGGTTCATACATTGTGCTATAATTTCCGCAACCGTGGGTTCCATTCCCAACCAATGTGGTCGTGGCATGTGGTATCTCAGCCAGCCAATGGACTTCCCCTTGGTTGACTCAGCCTTAAATGAGCACGATGGGTTGTCAACATTGGCACGAGGGAGACAAAAGCTGCACCGTTTTGCTACATCAACCTGTTGTATGCCACGCTGTCATTGATAGGTGCCCACTATCCATTTGAGTTAATCGCCCAATCTGGTCTATTGAGGGCCCTTTTTGTCATTAGTGAGAATCTGGCTTTTGCAATAATGTGTATATTGTATATTACTTGTAAATAAATGGCTGTTCAACATGTGGGAGGGAATCAGAGTACCCAGAGAAAACTCACCGCACACGGGGGGGGGGGGGGGGGGGGATAAGAACCTCCTCTTAGCTAGCCCTTTGGTTTATGGAAGCTTCACCAATCTCAGCACGGTCCACCAACTCTTGCCTCCAAAGCATTGGATCATGGGCATACGCCTCTGCCTTCGGCTCTAAAACAATGCGCTTCTGTCAATCTACACAAGGGGGAGTTTCAAAGTAATAAAAATAAACAAAATCTTAATGGCTTTACAGCCGTATGCCTGTGATGCGCTTATATGGTGATTAAAATTCCAGTTCCTTTGCTATCTTCTCAGCATCACCACCACTGCCCACCCAGTGCCGCTAAAGACAGACACGGAGACAGACAGACACAGAAACAACACAGAGAGAGATGCATGCCGAGACGGACACAGGAGTGACATCGTCACACATGCATAAATGCAGACACAGTGAAAATGCAACGAGACACAGAGAGACATACACGTGAAGAGAGCCGGGACAGAGGCGGCGCAGGAAAACGGATTGCTGGCGCTCTGTCTGGAGGTGCCGTGCGGCAGCGCATTCCTGGCTGTCTGCTGCATTGTGACATCATCCCGTGGCCCTTTCTAAAATGTTGATTCATATCTCCGCCGCTGAACCGATTACAGCCGGGGGATTGCCGAGCTTGAATAGTATTTGAGGCATGCTGCTAGTCACATTGTTGGCTGACATTGCTTGTATTTGTGGGTGCGTGGGACAGGTTC